TGCATGCAGTTTCGATTATTGTACATAGTATTTTTTACGTACTCAGAGCACTCGTCTGATTTAAGCACAATATTATGTTCTGTCATCAAAGTCATCTTAGCTGTGTAGAAGGAACTACTGCCAAAAAGGCAGTTGGTTTAGAATGTAGACAGAGCTAACCAATAGTGACTATTTAATAATTCAAAATTTATCAAAAGCCTACGTATTCTCGCCATCTGCTCTTCTGAATTCTCTGATGGGACTTTTAGCAACCTAAGAACTCAAAAACTGTAAAACGGATTTAACTTTTTTCTTTTTGTAAAAATATTTGAGGTTTAAACCGAAGTTTCTGTCTATTGACGCAGTAGCGGAAGCAAGCGCCAGCATATACCGTCAGCGTCTGCAAAAAGTAATATGACTTATTTTTTCTGTTTTTTTTTACCAGCGATGGCATCCCTCAGTTCCTGTCCGTTTACTTTTGCCTGTATTGCTTTGCTGTTACTGGGCAACACACTCACAAATGCACGTCCTGCCGCAGAAGATATGGATTTCGATGATGCAGAGTATGCTGCCCGGCATATGGCTCAACTAGAAGATCGTCCTTACTCCTACCCAGAGCTGTTGGAGCATCTACAGAAACGATTTATGCTGGGCCTTGGAGTGCCACCTCGTTCTCAAGTGAAGAAATTCTTCCTGGGCCTTGGTGCACCCCGGCGACACCGACTGAATCGCTAATTCTCGCCGGCCATTAATTTAGCCTTTGGTGTCAACCTCTTATTTTAACCCCATTGTGAACTCCCCATTTCCCCGAGTTTATTTATACGAAAAAATAAAAACTTACAAAAACTGCTAAATTTTAATTCCATTTCGTTAGCGATGGGATCTAAGCCGATAATATAACAAGAAGAACCTGATGGCCATAAGCGCAATTCAGTACTATCCTGGGATATTTAAAGGGGTTATTAAAGGAGTATCAATTAAAGGCTAGTTTCGTGAGATTCTGACATACCGATGTCATTATCGATTGATCGCCTTGTTAATCTTCCCCTGAGTGTCACTTTAGGCTCACTTTATGCCGTACTGATTGTTTGAATAATTAAGGCATTTAGTATTGCTGGCAAAGACTAGAGAGACTGGAATGGCCATTTCTGGTTTATTAGTCGTCATCAGGTAGTCATACCTATCCCCAAGTGGCCACTACTTGAGGCTCATACTCACGATAGTGTGATCAGAATCCAATGCCATAAGCATTGAGACACGAGCTCGATGTCTTGCTGGTTTGGGTCGGAAGGTATTGACAGTCGTTAATAGGCGTTATCCGACCTATAACGGAAATCGTTTTTCCCGCTCCGCCTTTTCCTTGGACCTAATTTCTCGGGTCCGTACAGCCAGGCATACCCACCTCAAGTGGCTAGGGATGGCTTATAAGTTATAACTGCTCATTTCAGGCTCTCTTTCCTTTGCTGGTAATAATATCTGTCTATGCTACAGTAGTGGCCAAAGATCACGCAACACGTCGACATATGCGAAAGATTGTACTCTTTCGCTAATCGGCAGTAACTTAAGTTGTGATACTGGTTATCGTGTAGTCTATTCTGAAGTCATTTCAGTCATGATAGGATGTGGGCTT